CCCACGGTTTCAGTGGCATTCATAAGGCAAAGCAATTTATTTATCGAGCAAATTATGATCAATATTTCCCCAGGCTAATATTATTATTATAAATGCTACTTCCATAGGGTTCCGTAGCATTCAGCTTTTGTCATGCAGCTGACTTCATTCTAGTTTTTGCCACATTCGCTAAAAGACTTGGTTCACAAGTTCAGAGGCATTCTTAATTCGAGTTTCAGTTTTGATTTTGTCACATTCAATAGAAGATTTGAGCATAATAATCATTCATAAGGCTATGCCTTTTATTTAGTGGCAAATTTTGATCTATATTTCCACAAGTTTCATAGATGTACCATCCATCGAGTGATATACCATTCAGCTTCTGTCATGCAGTCTCAAAGCATTTATATTTTATTATTCAGTCTTTGGCTCTCTGCTTTATATTTATATATTATATATATATATATATATATATATATATATATATATATATACTGTAATTAATATATATCAAAAAATGTTATATCTTCTATTATTTCTTTAAGAAACAATTGGAATGCATAAAAGTTAATGTCGATATAAAATAGTGTTCCAGAGAGCCCTTCTCAGCTGCTGCGTAGTGCAAAAGTTTTTCCTGATTTTAATACCAGATGTAATTTGATTCGCAACGGCTTTTTATTATGTGTTGTTGAGAGGGCAACAACGGTAAAAACAAAAGCAATTTAATAGCTTAACAACATTTTACCATTAGACTTAATTGAATCGTCGAGCCGAATAATAAGCAATGAAACTGAGGGGAAAGGCAAGGGGCGAGCTGCCAGGTGAGCTGAGCTGCCGAACGGCTGAACAGGTGAATATTAAGCGTCAGACATAACATGTTAATGAATTTTAATGAGAAATAATGAGAATAGCTTGCCGCGCCAACTGAAAAACTCATGCATTCTAATAGGACAAACCACTTCAAAAAGCGAGCACCGCCAGGACGCGGGGGCACTTTGCCGCGACAGTTTTGGTTTTTGCGACTCGATTATAGAGGTGGCTGCGCACAGCCAACAATGGGCGTGGGCACAATGTCTATGTGTGAGATTTGCTGAGAGCGGGGCAGAGTCGAGCATATGTTAAGTTGTCGACATGAAAGTTTTTTCGCCTGGCCCCGGGGCCAAACACGATGAAAATGAGATACATGCTCCAAACATACAAAAACAACTTGAATATATGTGTGTGTGTCTACTGTCAATATATTTCACTGTTTCAAGTCACGTTCCGAGCAGCGCACAAAAGTATGCAAAAATCAAAATGACCACTTTTCTTTTGCGTTTTCCGTTTGTGTCTTGGCATTAAAAGTTTAGCTCAACATTTTACTACAGTTTTCAGTTCCGGCTCCCCGAAAAAAAAAAAAAAAAAATACAAATGTCATTTTAAAGTTCTGACTGTGGCACACTTTATCCCAGCTGCGGTCTTTTATGTTCCAACTCAGTCAAATATCCCATGCAAACTCTAATTAAAGTCAAGCTGCTGTGGAGCCCATGTTTATAGAGGCATTTTATTGACAACTGCAGACAAGCTGTAAAAACAAAGCGAACTAACTGAATGACTTCTCAAATACACTTCAAGCTGTTGCGGCACACGTCCCTCGAGTGCCTCCGCCTAAAAGGGTAAACGCATTAATCAAGAGCATAAATAATTGATGAGCCAACTTTTGGCCTTTTGAGAGGAGTTAATCGAATTCAGTGCTTAAGCAAATTGCACACAGTGTGAGGTAGACAAATAGCAGCTGGAAAACAAGTCAAATATTTAGCAGCTAGCATATTTATATATCCAAAAGAAATTTGCTTGATATAATTACAATTATTTTTTTTTTTTTTTTTTGCTTTCTTTGATATTTTATGTATGCTAAATTCGAGTATAATTCAATCTCTGACAAGATTTATATCTTAAGCCGCACCCTTTTATTAGAAAAACAATTTCCTTAGATTATTTCGCATCGCGTATTTTGATAGCAAGTTTGACATTCTCACCCTCATCTCAAAATTGACTTAAGGCCTAGATTCAAAATATTATTAGATCAAGGCTAACGAAATATTCACGCATACGCATGGCATACCTAGCTAGCTGGCACTCGTATTTTATATCCACTTGCAAACCGAATAAAATTCCGACTAAAAATGTAAATCATGAATATTTGTAGTCGAAGCTATTGTGGTTCCTGTCACGTGCCTTCCGCAATTGGCTTGGGCGACAACCGCGTCTCTGCGGCAAATGAATTTGGAATCTGGCATTTTGTTTTATTCGTTTACAGGAGGAAAGAAAGGAGGGAGGGAGAAAGCCCCTACCTGTTTGTAATTAGCTGTGCGAAGGCTTGGAATTTCTGCTTCGCAAAAAATCTGATTGGTATTAACTGAAGTAAATTGATTTAATTGATTAGCGTGCATTTTAATTAAGCTAATTGAACTGACAGCAAATGCGGCAACACCTCAATAGCTGCCAGGGCCTGCACACCATCAATCGTTCAGCTCCCATGGCCATAAATCTGTCCCCAGCGCCAATCGCCTTGTCAAGCGAATTTATTATGCATATTTCTATAAAACCGACAGACAGACAGCGACAATCAGCTCTGACACCTGCCCTAACTAAGTGCTGCGACGCTCATATCTTGGCTTGCCGAAGCAACCTTTGCTGTTCGGGGCGCATATTAAGCTGGATGAATTCTGTTGCTCATATGCCATCCATAACCGTTAGACGCGTCTCGCGACTCGCACTTAATCAAAGGGCAACTGATCAAATAGCATCAAGAATTTAGCACCTGTTGTAATACAGTGCCTGTCACAGCAGAAAACTTAAATTGTCAGCTCCGCGACAGGTAAATGCGAACTGGGAGAGAGAGTTGGCTTTGATCCTGTTCCCTCTAGCTGCTGAGTTACAGCCAATTGGCTGTTCCTTTGATTTATTTGATTGACGGCTGCAGCACCAACTGACGACAGCTCAGCTCGGCTCCCAATTGGCCTGGGCTACAATTTGTCTTGAGAGGTGGAATCTTGTAACAAGTTGAGTAAACTGAATTTACTCGATGCAAACTAACCAACGATTGGCACAGCAATTAGGCCTTCTCTTACTCTCCACATAATATATTCAGTCTGCCCTTTATGGCCGGGCATTGAATTGATTTCTTGGCCAGCCGTGCCCAGGCTCATGCTTGCTTTGGCATGCAAATTGACATGCTTTGAGATTTATTGGCATAAATTATAATGAAATAAAACATGTCTTAAGCCCGCCGCTGAGGATAATCATCGTGGGTCTGGGTTAATTGACGGCACATTAAATGGTAATACACAAGGCCGTCAGAAGACGGCCAGAAGCCCAGCGTCGCGTAATTTGTTTGTGCCGAGTGCTTGAAAACGGAAATTGAATTTTATAAACTTTGGCCATGGCTCCTATCAAACGAGGGGGCAGCAATTAATACTCCCGGCAGGTCGCCTACCCGACGGGGGCGACGAAAGGCTTTCGGCTCGGGCTAGTGGGCCAAAGTTAGTATGGACTCACTCATTCGGGTCGATAGCGATGCGTCAGCTGGGAAGCCCAAAACCAGAAAACTTTCTATGTACATCGCAGGAATATGAAAGCAGGAGGCAGGGAGGGGGCACTGTCAAAGCTGTTGCCGCTGTCGTTGTTGTTTCCGAGTTTGAGCGGCTGTTGCTGTTGCTGATGTTGCTTTTCGTTGTCATTGAAGTGTTTTAATCAATTCTGATTTAATTTTATGCCCAATTAAGTGTGAAAAGCGTTTGATGTTGGGCACGAGCGCACTCCGCCCCCAAACTCCACACACCGCCACTCACCTAAACCCTCCAGCCCCCCTCTATTCGCAGCATGTGCCGAGAGGCACGCAACCGTGAGCATTGAATATGCCACAGTTATGGCCCCTAACGAGATGGGGCAAACGACGATTTGGCTGCTATGTCACCGGAAGCCATCCATACATAGCTGCAGTTCGGTTCACTACCCATGACGGTCTATTATGAAAGCACTCACTCACACACTCACCCAGACACTCACTCACACTCACACATGAATAACATTGTCATCAGAGCTTCCACAAGCAAGTCACACTTAAATAAGTTTTTGATTATAAGTAGATGTTGTTGTTGCTGTTGCTGCTCTCTCTCTCTCTCTCTTTCTCTCTCTCTCTCTCTATGTGCACCTGTAATAATTGCTTCTGCTTTATGTATCCTCTGAGCATTTACATATATCTCTATTCTATACAACTCAGCTCGTCTATACGATGGTAGCCGCTTCTAGTTGTTGTTGGCCTGTACTATCTCTTTAACCATGGTTCAAACTCTCTTCTTATGACAGAAACGAAAATTGCTGGCTAAGCGTTATCCAATAATCTTTATCAACAGCTACAGCAACAGCAGCAGCAGCAGTCCGACTCGGCCTCGACCCCAAGCATTTTGGAAGCATTAGTCTATATGACAGCCGATCCGATATCCTTATGCTTCTGGATATGCCTACAGGTAACCAACAGCTAAGCTAGAGCGCCAAGCTAATATGTAATACATGCGAGTGTTAAAGATTAAAGACTTCAAGTATCTTTAAATTAGCCTTGTTACGGCTTGGGCAGAAGCACCTGTAATTACCCAAGCAATTGCGCCAACTGCGTAACTCAGGAATATATACTTGGTACACATATAAAACGACGTATACATTGTCTTGGCTCTCCGCTTGCGGTGGGTAAGGTTTCATGATAATGTGCGCTGCGAGATTTGGTTCCTAAGGGCGCGGTTGGCTGCCTCAGTGCTTCAGGTGCGTTTCAGCCATAAAGCAATTTCGTTGAAAATTTACGAGCTTCCAACTTGACGCTGCGACGGCAACTGCGACGGTTTAGGGTTATGTCGGGGCTCGCTCACTGGACACCTTTACAAGTTATGGCTTTCATCTTAGGAATTCGTTTAAAATGAAAGCTTTAGCCTTGACCAACACGCAGCTCGTATATGTCCTTGGGAGCAAACATTCTTCAGCGCATCTTTTTGATAAAAACACATTTTTTTTTATTCGATTTAGATACATAGATTAATTTCGTTATACATGCTTGTGATTTTGGGTGTCGGAGATTGGCGTAAGGCTCAAGCTTAGGGGATAGCTTGAACAATGGCATCCTATCCATGTGAATATTTAAAATGAATATTAACTGTGTGTATGTGGGTGGTAGTGTTCGCATGCTAGGCGATTGGGTACTTTCACCAATTCTCGAGTTCCATTACTATTACAATTTCACGGTTCATCGATTGAGTGTGATATGACGAGTAGTTCTTGCAATACTCTGCTAATTTCATACTTTCCTTGGAGCGTCCTTAGTGGCCGTCCGTTGTGTAAAATGCTGACTTTGAATTTGCAAAATTCTGAATATAACAATATTTCACTTTGTATTGTCTGTGTGGATGAACATGTTTGTGTTTGGATTGCAGCAACTACAAACTAATCTTAACTATAACGAGTAACTAGAATTATTACTGGCGCTGTTCCCGGATCTGACCTGACCTGATCTGATCTGATCTGACCTGGTCTGATCTGATCTGACATGACCCGACTTGGCCTGACCCGACCAGACCAGACCGGACTAGAGCAGCCCAGCCCTGCGCTTGGAAGGACAGCCACCTCTTCAGACCTCTGCCTACTAATTGTTGCACACACACATTGGCGTCATGTTGCGAACAAATATGCATCGCTTGTCGTTTTAAATTTGATTAGCATGTGAAAAATTTTTTAAGGCTTTCCTTATGTACGATTTTTGTTTTTTTGTTTTTTTTTTTCTTGTTTAATATTCTCATATTATTAGCAAAAGATTTTGTTAAAATTTGATTGAAGAGAGTCATTTTCATGCCAAAATGAGCCTTAAAAATTAAAACGCTGACACTTCTCAATCTACCAAAATGGTCAGCGTTTTCAATTAGTAGGCAGGGCAGTGGATCCGTGTCCTAAAATCATTTTTTATTTTTTTTTTTTTTTTTTTTTTTTTTTTTTTTAACTGAATTTTCACTGATATCAAAAAGATCGAGTATGAAAAGATAACTAAAAACGAATTCCTTGTTAGTTGCGTTGCGCTTACGTCGAGTAACGAAAGGCATCCAAAAGTCACCCAATCACACAGCGTTTGGGTTTTAGGTGTTTCATGTTATACGTATGATCAGAATGGCCTTAGCGTCGCTCGCGCTTTTTTGCGAGCCTGTTTTCAGTTTCAAGCTATTTCTGTGGGTTATATTTTTGGTTATTACTCTCTCCTCGCTACGGCAGCGCAACAGTCCCCAAAACTGTTTAAGGTGTCTGTTTGTGTGTTTGTGTGAGTCTTGTGGGTCTACGTATGTGTCTCAGATGGAACTAAATTAGTACACGATGAGCAGGTTGTTCTCGTTAAATCCTGCCGAATGTCCTGCATTGCGCACTATAAAATTGGATCCATCGAAGTGCATGCGCTTTTCATTGCGACTGCAAGGCAAGAAATCAAATAAAATAATTGGAATTAAATGGCCAAGTTTCGATACGTACCGTAAAAACAGATGCGAGGTCTTGCCCAAGGAGGCGGTGCAGTGGATGCCCAGAGTGGTCAGAGTGACCGATCCATTGCCAGGGCTGGTGCGAATGAGCCCCTTGTTGTGTTGGCGAGTCACCTTCACCAGGCCATCGGCGGCCTGAATGATGCGAAAACCATTGATGTCGTACATCTCGGTGCCGTCGTCTGCGCAACTGTAGGATGACTTTGCAATCACCTCCTGTGCATCGGGCACAAATGAGGGACCGTGGCGCGAGTCGCTGTTGAGAGTGTTGCGAGTGTTAAGAGAGAGAAGAACATACTACTCCGATACGCTACTCACTCATAAAACACTGCCAGAGTGTAGTCCTTAGTCAGGTCAGTGAAAGTGTCGGTTGTGGTGCGTGTTCCAGCAGTGTCCACCAGATAAATCAAAGCACAAGACTCGCTGGTGAAGCTCACACCCTTGTACCACATCTTAGCATAGCGCCTGTAAAAACAAAGAAGTTGCCTTAAATAGTTCTAAGCAAAATTATCCCTATTAGCCTACACAAAATTGTTGGCCTTCATGCCGTCATAGGTCACGATTTCCACCTTGGAACCACTCTGCAGGATTCGACCATTGGGATGGATTAGAGCAGAGTTTGTGCCATTGCGCGACAGTGCGACAGCCACCATGCTGCGCTGATTCAACACGCGCACGGCCTTGTCCAGAGTCATATCGATTCTGTAATCGAAAGAATATTATTCCATTTCAATCAACAGCTCAACTGATCTAGACACACACCTGACTCCCTCGCGCAAGCGCAGCTGGATGGTGCCATTGGACATGGCAATCGGTCCGGAGCCAGGACATGGCGGTGGTGGTGGTGGATTATTCTCGAACTCAAAAGTGCGAGAGCTGACACGACCCAAGGCATGAGGTGGAGGCGGCATGGGCGACGGATACTGCTGAGTGTGGTGCATTTGGGGTTGCGGTTGTGGCTAATAAGGAAAGAAGTATTATTAAGTTAATCGAGAGTAGTGAATGTAGCTATTTACCTGACAGTAGGCGCCGCTATTGTCATACCCAAATGGCCCAGCGAAGCGAGCAGTCAACGACTTAGTGCTCAGGACCAGTGGCTCCAAGTCTGCAACGGCAGTGAGCAGCGGCTGCGACTGGTGCATGCCCATTCCCATGGCACGATAGGAGCCCGAGGCACCTATGGCATTAGTCTGGCTAGAGCATTCCTTGGCTAGCACTGAAGTGTTGGTGCCCACACTGGCGCTGCCGCTGTTCAGCGATATGCTGCTCATACGAGCTGAAAGCGATGCTGCCGCATTGGGCAAGCGAACCGACGACTGCTGCAAATTTCAAACAGGGTATAAAAATCTTATGTAGATAAATGTATCAAACAAAGGCCATATTTATTTGGCTATGCAAAAATCAATAACCTCTAACCTTGTAAAATATATTGCCTTTGATATCATAAAATATTTAATATAATTATTAATTCTCGTTGCAAAAAAAAGCTGTTGAATCCATTTTTAATGGAGGTCAGCCAATAGCCATGATATCTGTTAATAATAGCAAGCATATCTATTAGGGATGACAAACGTGATCCCACCCGATTATGATTATGCTAACTCAGTGGAAATTAGCAGATGTCAACGATAAATCAGATTACCACGTTTTCATTTTACAGCTGTCAAACTCCGCTGTATAAACTTGACAATTGGCTCTGTCAACGACAGATTCAGCCATGTTTTGTCACGCCCCAGGTGGACACATCGTAAACAGTATTAATATTGAATACAACGGTACATGAGTTCAAATTGCTAAAGCTCTTATATTCAATAGCAATGAGGTAGCAGACGGACGAGACGAAATAGATATTGCACTAAAACAAAAAAAGGCTACTCCCCTTGTGAAAAACACGTAACCTAGCCTAAGTTTTCAATTGATGACGTTCACAAACTGTCAAAAAAAAAAAAAACGACACACTGACAACTGAAAGAAAACTTTTCTGGGCTGAACTTACCGGTGATGGGTTGTTGTTGGTGTACACCGAGCGTTGGCGCACGCCATTTGGGGCTTTAGTGGGCGAGCGTAAGATGTTGTTGATCTTGTCGTTCGTCTGGGCACGCGACAAAAAATCTTCGGCATTGAAGATGCCCACACGGCCGCTCTTCGGGGTGACAATGGTCTCCGGCTGCTGCTTGGTCTCATCACATGCTGCCAGCTGGCATTGCACCTCCTTGGTGTTCGGTTTAGTAACTGGAACCATTTTATTTTCTTCTTGCGTTCGATGTATTCTTGTGACTAAATTAATTACAGTTACACTTTAATGGGAACGGAGTTGCACGCGGGGATAGGAATGCGAAAAACCAAAGATTGCTCGACACAACGACTCTGAGAGAGGAATTTAATTTTTACTTTTTTTATTTTCTACTTTCAAGAGCTCTGCTCACTGCGAAAATTTGTGAAAGAATGACTTTCCACAGATGCTGCTCCTTGACTAGTAAGCTTTTCACCGGGATGTCGTCGCCTACTTTGCTGAAAATTAAATATCACCAAATATGTGTTGGAAAACGCATTTCCCTTGCCAACACTAGCATTTTTCTGGGTGGCTGCATACAACACTCTTCGTGCACATAATTAACTCAAAACACTTAAAATAGGCATAAACTGATATAACATGGATTTATTTGAAAGGGGCAACTGAAATAATATTGTTTTGTTCACAAATGTGACCAGATCCCTGACAGTAATAAAATATAACAAAAATACTGTGTTGAAGTAAAAATACTTCTACCGAAAAATACTATGTGCCTTGATTTAATGTTTTTAAGCACCATTATTTTAAAAATTATTACTTACTGGTCTCACTGTGACATATTAACAAATAACGTTTTATCAAACTTTTATTGATAATTCCATACAATAATTTTGTAATACATGCTCTTGAATTTTGGATCATGTGAGATCGTCGTAAGGCTCACAAATCTCATAAAGCCACCAAGCGTGAAAAGAAGAAATGTTGACAGATTTACACATAGGCCAGAAATACATATATTATATATTTGTATGTTCATATGTGAAGTATGAGGATGTATGTGTATATGTACCTATAATAATTGAGGACGTTGTGTATAGTTTTTGTCAACAATTATACGTTTTCTATCAACATGTATTTATTAATTTCTCACTTTTCTTTCGGGTAACTTGTGTTGTAAACGTGCTCATGGTGTATTGGTCTATCGCTCACTTTGAATTTGCAAAACTTAGTTTGCAACATTATTTCACTTTGATGTGTGACTTCCCATGTTCGGAGCATCACAGCAACTACAAACTAATCTTAACTTTAACAAGTAACTGTAATGTAAGGTCGTCTTCTGTTCAGACTAACAACGCATTGAAGGTTCGGACCACCTCTTAAAGGCCACCGCCTACTTATTGTAACACATACACATTGCGCCATGGCATAGTGTTTCTAATTTTTATGCATGTGAACAATTTTTTAAGGCTTTTCTCAATGTACATAATGTGTTTTTTTTTTTTTTTTTTTCCTATTATGTGTAAAATATTGTTGAAATTTGATGAACTCTTTTCTGTATGCCAAATCGAGCCTTAAAAATAAAAACGCTGATCCCTTTATTTGTTAGAAGTGGTCAGCGTTCTCAAGTAGTAGGCAGGGCAGTGGACTTGTACTCGTGTTTTTTTTTTTTTGCTGTATATATAACTAAAATCTAATTCCTTCTTGTAAACGTCTGTGATGTCTGTGATCTTAACAAATTTTAGTAATTTTCCCTCTCCACTCTACGGAAGCCTAGCGGCCCCTAAAAACTACCTTGGATATTGTCTGTTTGTGTTTGTGTCTTATAGATAGGATGGAACTAAATTAGTACACGATCAGTAGATTGTTCTCATTGAATCCGGCCGAGTGCCCTGCATTGCGCACTATAAAATTGGCTCCATCAAAATGCATACGCTTTTCATTGCGACTGCAAGACAAGAGATCAAACACAATTATATGTACTATAAATGTTAGGATTATATACGTACCGTAAAAACAGATGCGAGGTCTTGCCCAAGGAGGCGGTGCAGTGGATGCCCAGAGTGGTCAGAGTGACCGATCCATTGCCAGGGCTGGTGCGAATGAGCCCCTTGTTGTGTTGGCGAGTCACCTTCACCAGGCCATCGGCGGCCTGAATGATGCGAAAACCATTGATGTCGTACATCTCGGTGCCGTCGTCTGCGCAACTGTAGGATGACTTTGCAATCACCTCCTGTGCATCCGGCACAAATGAGGGACCGTGGCGCGAGTCGCTGTTGAGAGTGTTGCGAGTGTTAAGAGAGAGAAGAACATACTACTCCGATACGCTACTCACTCATAAAACACTGCCAGAGTGTAGTCCTTAGTCAGGTCAGTGAAAGTGTCGGTTGTGGTGCGTGTTCCAGCAGTGTCCACCAGATAAATCAAAGCACAAGACTCGCTAGTGAAGCTCACACCCTTGTACCACATCTTAGCATAGCGCCTGTAAAAGCAAAGACGTTGGCTTGAATAGTTCCAAGCAAAATAATCACAAATATTTTACACAAAATTGTTGGTCTTCATGCCGTCATAGGTCACGATTTCCACCTTGGAACCACTCTGCAGGATTCGACCATTGGGATGGATTAGAGCAGAGTTTGTGCCATTGCGCGACAGTGCGACAGCCACCATGCTGCGCTGATTTAACACACGCACGGCCTTGTCCAGAGTCATATCGATTCTGTAATCGAAGGAATATTACTTATTCCAGCCCAATCAACAGCTTAACTGATCTAGAAACACACCTGACTCCCTCGCGCAAGCGCAGCTGGATGGTGCCATTGGACATGGCAATCGGTCCGGAGCCAGGACATGGCGGTGGTGGTGGTGGATTATTCTCGAACTCAAAAGTGCGAGAGCTGACACGACCCAAGGCATGAGGTGGAGGCGGCATGGGCGACGGATACTGCTGAGTGTGGTGCATTTGGGGTTGCGGTTGTGGCTAATAGGGTAAAGATTATTGTTAGGTTATCCTATCAGTAGTGAAAGTGGTTAGTTACCTGACCGTAGGCGAAGCGAGCTGTCAACGACTTAGTGCTCAGGACCAGTGGCTCCAAGTCTGCAACGGCAGTGAGCAGCGGCTGCGACTGGTGCATGCCCATTCCCATGGCACGATAGGAGCCCGAGGCACCTATGGCATTAGTCTGGCTAGAGCATTCCTTGGCCAGCACTGAAGTGTTGGTGCCCACACTGGCGCTGCCGCTGTTCAGCGATATGCTGCTCATACGAGCTGAAAGCGATGCTGCCGCATTGGGCAAACGAACCGACGACTGCTGCATATTTGATATAAATTAATATTGAAAAACTTCTATAATTTGGATTGATTTCGAAAAACAGTAATAGCCGAACTTGAAAAAGAAAACTCTCATATAATCAGAACCTCACTTTTACCGCTTGTCAAAGACACAGACAGACGAATTCTGACAGAACTTACCGGAGATGGGTTGTTGTTGGTGTACACCGAGCGTTGACGCACGCCATTCGGAGACTTTGTGGGCGAGCGCAAAATGTTGTTAATCTTGTCGTTGGTCTGAGCACGCGACAGAAAGTCTTCGGCATTGAAGATGCCCACTCGGCCGCTCTTCGGGGTGACAACGGTCTCCGGCTGCTGCTCGGCCTCATCGCTTTCTGCCAGCTGGCATTGCACTTCCTTGGTAACTGGAACCATTTTCTATACTATTCTACCACAATTTAATAGAAATGTAGTTGCACGCGACGATGTAAATGCGAAAAACCAAAGCTTGCTCGACACAACGACTCTGAGAGAGAAATTTAATTTTACTTTTTTATTTTCTACTTTCAAGAGCTCTGCTCACTGCGAAAATTTGTGAAAGAATGACTCTCCACTAAATCTGCTCTTAAACAATTCATTTAGCCTAGCAGCACCATCGCCTACTTTGCTGTCAAAGTCAATTTAGCAGAGGAAGTGTTGGTAAACGCGCTGAAGCCACCAGTGATTGGCAATAGATGCAGAGCTTCTGCATGCAAATTGCTAGCATACTTTCAGGCTGAACGCGATTCAAAGTTTCCTCTTATAGTGCACTTATTGATGCAATCTATACATCGGGAAATTCCATTGGCAATCAGTGAGAAGAATCAGCATTGAGCTGGCAGCTAAATTAAATTAAATAAGCGCTTCGAACTGTAAGAAGGGAAATGCGCAGAGCAAAGAAATTGTTGCTGATTGTCGTCTATAAGCCAGAGCTAAAAGCAAAAAAGCTATTGAAATATTGATTTCAGTTTGGCTCAGAGCACTTTATATTTTATATAATATATATTTATTGAATAGATACTATTGCGTTTGCTGAAAGGGAAGAACATTTCGCTATTGGCTTAGGTCAAACGCACTTGGCTAAAATATGTCCTTGCCAATGACAGAGATAATTAGTTTTGCTGCCAAATATTGACAAATCGCTTCAATTGGCAATATTCATGGCTGGCCGAGAGCAGAGCCTCCCGTTGGCCAAAATGCGTGTACTTCCGACTGTATTCGAACGTCAATTAGCCAGAGATAATTCATTATGATAAATCCTTCAAGCTGTTGTGCACAAACCGCGGGGCTAGAGACGCCCCTGAACTTCCGCTGGGCCAAATCAGTGACAATTGTCGCAATTATTTTCTTGGCCAATTGCAATTGAGTAACTGCTGCCGCTGCCGCTGCCGCTGCCCTGGCGTTCTGACACTTTCCTAATGCCGTTGATTAATGGCGCGGCGGTGCGGTGGTGCGGCGTGGCCTAATGAGCGCATTGACTCCTTGCAATGTTTGGCCATCGGCCCACGTCAGAACTGACCAGAATTCACAATTTATTTTTGCCAACAATTTTCATTATTTTCGCTATTTTCATTTTCATTTTCATTTTCATTTTCGTGTTCGTTTTCATTTGAGTTGTCAGCAGCATAGAACATATTTATGTGCAATTTATTTTTGGCTCTGCCGCTCATTAAAATACTGTTGCACTGCATATGAAAATTGTTGTTGGCGTGCCACGCCCACGCGTTGCATTGACTCAGTTTGCGAGAAATCCAAAAATATTGTTTACAGAATGCGTTGCGTGAATTTCAAAATCTGTTGCTGAAAATACGCATCCAAAGGCGGACAGGTGAGACGGGCGGACGGACGGACGGACGGGCAGGCGAAATACGGAAGAAATTCATTTGTAAAGAAGCAAATGTTTTTCATTTAGCTCGAACAAATTGGATAACCTCCTTTTGTGAACATAACATAATACACACGCACACATGCACACATGCACACATGTATATATGTATATTCTCTTATAAAACAATATTTTGTTGACAGGATTCTCAATGCTGGGGCACAAAAGTTTTTGGGTTTTGATGGCGCATTTTAGTTTTAATTGCGGCTCGGAGCTCACAATGCTGTTGTTCAGTGAGCCACTATTGTGTATGCATTTTAATTAACTAGAATGCAAAAAGCCACCAGTTGCCACAAGCAATGCATTTCCATTTGCCACAATGCCATAGAAAGGCACTGAGTGGCACAGACTGGCACAGAGTGGGGCTATGTATTACGACAGAGAGAGAGAGAGAGAGAGAAAGAGCGAGGGATAGAGCATCAATTGCCATTAGTTGTGATTTATGGTGGCCAACTGGGGACACTCTAAATAACAATACCTGTGCGGCTTGGCTGGTTTTGCATGAATACACAAAAGTCTCGCCTTATTGAGCCACTCTGAGTGGCCTCCATTATTTGGCAATTGCATTTCATCTCATTCAAGTATAATCCCAGCAAAACAAATTTTTGTAGCCAAGTTATGCAATGGCTAAGAAAATCTACGGAAGAAGCAGAGCTCTTCAGCTATTTCCGTGGCGACAAAAACGAATTTATGGCCATGTCAATGAACTGTGCACTGTGCATTGCCTCAGCAGAGAGCGATTTAGAATGGCATGGAGATGCTAAGCAGGCAGAGGAGAGAGATTCATGCGGTTGGAATTCAGGCGACACGGATGATGCTCTGCGTCTGTCCAATGGCTGACGTCATATCCATATTGTAGTGCGAGGAGGAACCATAGGCACTCTGAGTGATAGGGAACTTATGGCATAATTGAAATTGAAATGACTTGGGCTACTTTAAGAACATTTTTAAATGTATCGCATTTTATTTATTTATATTTATTTTTATTTTTTCACAATTAACATTAAAAACAATTACCACAGACGTAAAGCTCGGCCGACAGTTGCTTTTGTTGGAATTAATTGATTGTCAACAGCATCAGAAATGAATATATTTAAATATGCATACATACATACATACATATAAATGTATATAATTAATTATGGGAATACAAACAAAAATCTATATATCGACATCTTTGTGGTCAATTAAGGCAAACAAACTCAGCTTCTATTCAAATATATGTTTATTCTCCATATGAAATATGCTATCGTATATAGATTTCCAACTTAGTCTCTATAAGCAATTTCAGATATATCTCGATATAGTTGCTGTCGCTGTTGCTGTTGCTATGTTGTCATGTGTCGCCTGGAAACCACATCTTAATGCTCATCAGCCTTTGCGGCATTCCAGGCATTTTCAGCCGTCTCGATTGTCACTCTCTCTGTTTTTCGACCATCATAAATCGCGTAAAGCTCATGAAACTTGAGTGACTGTTGTTTACACAGCCAGTCCAATGGGCGAGCCGCACAAATCCCCCCATCCAATACATTGAGTCTCTTCGGTTTGTCAAATGATTCATTGGGATTTCCTGGAGTGCCCGCCCGGCCCGTGTAGACCAACGCACTTTGTCTGGGATCTGGGGTCTGTGGTTTGGACACTGGGCACTGGGGACTGGGTGGCCGTTTCGTGACCAATTCACCAAAAATAAAGCAAAAGTGTGCCCGAGTGTTACGTCCACGCAAATAGGTGGACGTCAGTTCATCTTTTTTAGGTTTGACGTCATCAACTCGCAGCGCTGTGCCAAGTGCTGGCAGTGGCGCACAGATTTCAGCGCGCTGTCTGTGGGCCCCTTCGGTGCACTTCCCAGGCGCCTCTGCGACTGCAAAAGGTGTGCTGTGGTGGAGGAGGAGGTGCGGGAGGAGGAGGAGGAGGTGTAGATCTTTCGTAAGATTTAATGTCTGCTGGCGCACTGCCCGTTTGTCAGACTAAATTTTACGCTTAATTTAAGCGGCAAACATCTGAGGTGACGTTGTCGTTTCTACTTTGATTTTGTTGTTGTTGTTGTTGTCGTTGTTGCTTTTTGTTCCACAAATATAGGTCAGAAAATTCATCAATAATTAATACACTGGTCGGAAAAATAATGGCTGATAAATAATTGGGCAAGAATTGAGTGCCGTGCTTAAACTTAAAGAAAATACAAATTCTTCACAGTCATTCATTTACAATATATATATATATATATATCAACATAAATATCTGTATTTAAAGAATAATCTAAAACAACAAAATTCCATTCACTGGGTGCTAAACATTACGATTTGTGAGCTGTCTAATTATCTTACAAAGGTCAAAAACAATGGATGTGTTTATAAATAGGCGAAAGTCATTAATTTAAATACTTATCCTTCAGATTTCACCACAGCTCTCTATAAATACCGATGATGATCTTACGACTTTTCTCGAATTTATTGTATATAGATTTCGGTTTAGAGATAATCATTATTAAATTGATTCCACTCAACAAGAAATCAATCGATTTTATAAGATGCTAGACAAGTGCGGACGTGCCTCTTGGGCTGCACTGCTCACACGCCCACCAAAATCTCTGCTCCAGTTGTCTGTAGGGGGTGTGGGTAGGTGGGGAGGTATGCAGGGCGTGGCTGTGTCTGGGCATAAATCACGCGACTTTTAGTCGGATGTTCCGCCTTCTTTGAGTTTGCCTTTTGTTGTTGGCTTTTGTTGTCGCTGAGTTGCTCGATTTTTAATTTTATATATAATTTTTTTTTTTATTATTATTATTTTTGTGAATTTTTTGTTTTTTATTTTCTGTAAATTTATAACATATGCACTGCGATTGTGCAATTTGCAAGCTGTCTTCCCGCTTTTTGATATTTTCTTCCATATTTCTGTTTATTTTTTGGCGAAAGTTCGTTTTAATTCTGTACTCTGATCTTTTTGGCAAATGGGCAGCAATAAATTGTATTTACTTTGAGCGGGGGCGACACAGAGGGACCTCAGCCTAGCCAGCAATACCTTGAAGGTGTGTGCATTAGTAATGAGTATGACTTCATCGACCGGTCAAATAGCTCGTAAAATGCTTGCATAGTTTCCGGTACAAATGACTGCCCCAAGGGGGTAGGTGAGAGGGGCAGACAGCAAAGAGACTGAGACGACGAGACGTTGAGACGTTGAGAAATGCCAATTGAGTTCTGAGCATGCAAGTTCAATGCACTGCAGGCAGCCAACTCAGTTGCGGGAGCAGCCATTGTAATGCCAATTGGGCATTAAACGGAGCCAACTAATGTCCGTCTGTTTCCGCAGGCCCCTGTCCCCTGTCCTACTCCCTGTCCCTCTCTCCCTCTCTCGCTCTCTCTCTGTCACGCCACAGGACCACAAATTGCTGTCGTCAATGAATAAGTTTAGTGCACGCAGCGACAACTAAATGGGTGTAATGGAAATAATGTCGACGCAGTCATTGAACGAAATACCAAAACCACAATGCCCCACACCCGGACCCACTGTTGACTTGTAATATCTCTGGTGGCATACAAAGCTGTCAGCCCCAACCATTAATATCTGGCTATCTGGGCAGCAACGAAAGACAAACGAAGTAAATTTATAATGTGGCACACACACCTTCCTCAAGCAGACAGCTAAAGTCTCCGACTTGACACACAACTGGGCCCAGTGCCCCAAAAGGAGAAAAGGAGGGCCTGGCTAGGTTGGGCTGTGCTGTGTGTCTTAAAGGAAAAGCACAACAAATCTTGCTAAAGTGAAAGACAACTGGCTTTAAGTGTTATATTCCAATAAGAGAATATTCAGTGGTCTATGTGCGTGTCATCCTTGATCCAGTCCAGACAAGCTGCGACTCGGGTCAAGCCATTTGTAGTTGGAGCAGAAAGAGTTGACACCAGTTCAAGTTGATTTCTCGTTGCTTTGGCGTCAAAGAGCTCACGCCACGGCTATTGTCACAATGGTGCTGCATTTCAACGAGGGCCAACCAATGAGAAGTCAGGCACTAGCCAGAGGCTATGGCCAGCTGGCAGAGCAATTTTCTTGATGTGGGCGATATCACAGGTTTGTTGATTGAAGCCATTTCATTGACAAGCACCTCGACTTTATTATATGGATGCAGCACAAATTGTGGACTCAGCGCCAGCTGCTAAAGCTTAGCTGTGTTGAGTACTGGAGGCACTGCAATAGGCACATCATTAAGTTAACTCTGAGAATCTTGAAATAGGCACATCATTAAGTTAACTCTGAGAATCTTTACTCAACTATCCATTGAGCTAAAGCTAACACAAGTTGCGGAAAATATAGTTTCCTAGCAAAGCGAACGTCCACTTGGTTGGGAAATTGACAACCAGTTGGTCCATTTCTGCCTCCCATTCTTGGAAAGCTAAATTAGCTATAGCCAGAGCAAAGACTATAAGTAAATGTCTCTTCTCCAAGTCTTTAATGCTTAACTGAACGACCACACACTTCACTTTACTCTACTGCACTCTACGACTGGCCTGGACGACTGAAGAGATGCTACAGCTGCTGCCCTTTATATAAGGCAAGTTTCACTCACACCCGAAGGTGCTCTCAAATGTTGAGCTCGGCACCAGGTAGAGATCGTTGACACCGAGCTTTAAAAGACCAATGGGAGCACTCTCAGCTGCTCCCAGTATTCTAGCTTCGTGTTACTTGAATATAAGCACCAAATGAATACTGCTGCATACATAGAAACAAATTAAACGATCTTCTATTGAGCTTCTCATACCGTGCTTCTCTAAGGCAGACAGGCAGAGAGACAAACTGTGTGACAGATAGTGAGACAGATTTACAACCAAATATATGATATATTGGTGTTGGCCACGCATACTTATATAGGTTTACCTCATTATACAATATATGAATGTTCATATGCTAAATAGCTTATGTACATTAATAATACTAATTATTAGTTGGCATACACAGTAGTTTCTCCTTCTGTTCTTCTATTCTATGGCTCTCTTAAGGACTAAAATCGACCTCAATCTCTTACATTCCAAGCTCATTTTCAATGGATTTATTATCAATTGGCTACACATCTTTCAAAGAGGCTCGATCTAGCTTGAAATAGGCTAAGCAGGCAGCACTGCTTATGGACGTTCATGTGCTGTTTTTGTAAGCAGGAAAGGAACGAGGAATTATTAACATATGTATGAGTCCCTCTACGGGCTCAGGGAATCACGTAGTAGAGCAGTCTCCTTTAAAAAATTGTATTTTTCAAAAAGTCTTGCATATTTTAGGTAATTTGTCTCGCCTCTTTGCTACATATCAACTGCCTTGTTTATTATGCTGTGGACTGCGACAGCATGACAGCAGAACATTTCGGGAACATTCCCGCTTTCTGAATCCGTATCGCCTTCTCTGCATATTGGGCACAAGATAATATTTGTTATACGCAAACGACTTCCTCAATGAAATTAAATCGACCAGACACTTGTACCTTTATGTCTTTCCCTCTCTCTCGGCTCACAATTCCCCAATTATTATTGCTCGACTTACGGGACGTATAATTGTATATACTTAAGTGTTGTGGCTGCTGAGGTGTGATGAAATCATATATTGGGGTCACAACAAAAGAAAAAAAAAATGGAAATTAAATATCATTACAGATTGTTTAACTTTGTTCTGTTTATGTGGAACTTGCTTGGTCCTTGACTGGGTAAATATTAATAATAAATAATTATGGCCAACTCCCATTTTGAGTATGTTTTATGTGCCCAATGCAAGTTTGATTGATTACAGATGATTGATGACACACATTACCACATTCCATATTTATTGGCTAATTTCGTTTATTCATAGAGCTGCGCTAATTGGCTTTGATATTTCTAGTTTGCAGAGATGCGACAAAATGTTCATTTAGTTCAATTGGCAAATCGGAAATTTTATATGACGCGCTCTGCTGGCCATTTTCAATCTGAAATTGTAATTGCTGTCCAAACCCAAATAAAAAAAATAAAAAAAAAAGAAAGAAAAACAGGAATGGGAATGGGGTCTGTTGCGCGATGTGCTTTCGCTTTCAGTGTGCATGTCACAGTGTGCACGAATGACACACGCAGAGTTGCCAGAGGGGGAGGCGCAGGAGGAGTAGGTAAGGCAAACACAGCGATTTGTTTGCCATGCAAACATTTTTCGTGTATTTCCAAGCGCCAAAAGCATGTCAAGGGAGCAAAAGCAAAGCAAAAGCAACGTCAAATGTCAGCGACAACGGCAAGTGACAAGCATGCTACAGTTTAACTCGTGGAAACTTTAATGCGTTAAGTCAACACACACACACACAAACACACAGGCGCACGCATACGTACTGTTATCGAAAGTTTTCTCTCCCTCCCTTTTAAGTTATTAGCGTGCCCTAGTTTTTAATCGATTTCAATTACTAAACGTATTTTCTTTAACATTTCAATTAACTTTGTTAAAGCAGAGAAGAAAAATACAGAACTAAATCCTTCAGCAGCCTCTCACATGCACACACACACACTCACTCACTCTCTCTCTCACTAGTTAGACTCTAGGTAAGGTTCATGCGCCTATTTGCTGAGCTGAGTGGCTGTTCACTCTAGAGCTCTGCAGCTATATTTGAGTCTTGAGTCTTGAGCTTACTTCTTAGTCAACAGTGAATTGAGGATGAATAGAGCAGCTTGGGCTATTTTTGGTTTCAATTAAAAGGATATATAGCTGAGCTGTATTTATTATTTTGTTGTTTTCACCTGCCAGTGCGACATTTGTGTACTTGAAATGTTTGCCGCCAGCCGAATGTTGTTTTTGTGTTGTGTTTTCTAGAAATGAACATAAAAATGTCGTCGACTCATGACAGAGACTGAAAAGTCTGGCTATTAGCTGGAATTTATGTTAGCCGTTAACGCGTATTTAATTCTATTTTAATGAGCTAGCTATTGAAGGCCCCCCGCCCACATTTCTGAATTGCGGTCAACATGTGCGGAAGTCTAGTTTGGGAGGTCACAGCCCGTTGACCTCTTCAACTGTCCAAAGTATTGCAAGGGACGAGAAACGAGCCACTGGCTCTGCCATAAGCTCAGACAGCAGCTAAATGCGTTTTAATTGGCTGCTGGCGGCACTTTTTATTTTCATCTCTGGACAGACATTGGGATTAGAATCGAGCGTGTCCTTTTTTTGTCATATTGCGGAACATCCATTTTATGCTAATTACAGCCAGCGAGCAACAGCCACCACAACAGCAAACAGCAGCACCACCAGTTGAAGTCCCCCAGCCCCTGTGCCGTGGCTGCCATTCTTGCCAGGTATAATGGCGTTGTGATTGCCCCCACCACCTGCCCCAGCCGAGCCACCAGCTCCAGCACCAGCACCGATGGTGAGGCTACCACTCGTGTTGTAGACGCGTCCGTTGTGCCCATTGCATAGATTCAGCTGGCAGGAGCGGTAGTAGGTGCGAGACGAGGAGTCCGTCCTAACTCCATTCGGTATCTGCAATGTGCGTAAATTTTATTCCTGCCCCAGGCACAATCTGTCTGGCAGTTGATCTGCCACTCATACCCACCGTCGGCTTATCCTGGCAGTCACGTAGAAAGGAAATGACTTTGTTCCCATTATGCTGCAGGCGACACATGTATGAGGAGAGACAAAAAAAAAAGAGAGGAAACCAAAATTAAGAACGGAGCATGAGAAAAAGTTAGTTCAACAAAATATTTTAAAATATTCCCAAAGATGTTCAGCATGAAATAGATAAAGTTTTCATATTTAAATAACTAAATTATTTCTATGAAACAACTGAGAGTTGAAGTCTTTAACTTTTTAGATCTCTGCTAGAAAAATTTGATTATGATTGAGTAAAATTTTGATTTATTAATATATTCCAGAAGAGAAAAGAGATGATATTAGAGAGTTAATTTGATTATAGTGAAAATAGCATTTTTGATTTATTAATATATTCCAGAAGAGAAAAGAGATGATATTAGAGAGTTAATTTGATTAGAATCGAATAAAATTGTGATTTATTAAATTATCCCACAGAGAAAAGAGATGATATTAGAGAGTTAAATTCTTTAAATTTGTTAATTTCAGATTATATATTTAATTGATAATAAATTGATGTATTAATATATATTAATTTTGATTTATTACTAATTCATTTATATACCAAAAGACAAAGGTATTGTATCCATATAACTTAATATATCTGTAGAAATATCAGAGAGTTAAATTCTTCAAATTGAGGCATTTGTGATGGAAAATTTGATTACACTACAATTTGGATCCAATGAACTATAATAAATGCCAGCTGCTACAAGTTCCGGTTGACTGTGGCCAGTGTCCCAGCTTCACTTAATTTGTATTCATCATTAGGGTCGGCCGCATGGAGATAGAGATGGCGGTGGATGGGGATGAAGATAAAGTTTTAATTGCATTATGCCAGAGCATCAGTGAAGCATTTGACTGGCTGGTGAGAAGCAGCAGATGCTGCAGCTCTCTTTGTCTTTCTCTGTCTGCGCCCACAAGTAACTTTTAGTTCATTTCCCGCTGGCTCAATGCCTCTTTGATCCAGCAAATTCAATAACAAAGAGTTCAAGGCTCGCCGACTAATGAAGCGCCTGGCAAAATGTTTATCCAACTCATTGTAAAAAAAATGGAGAAACACATACATATATACACATATTTAAGTGCATGAAGAGGCGTGGGTGAGGCTGGCTGATAGAAGACAGAGTTAAAGCCTCGCATATTAAGGAGCCTATCCAGAGTAAGGGTTAGCAGCTGCGTATGCTATGATGTGGTGTGGTGTCTGTCCCTGTCTCTGTCTCTCGCACAGTCTGAAGCGGCTTTTGTGGCTTTTATACGCCTTTCTGGCTTTCCATTAAATTATGGTAATGGACTTTTTATGCACTCCACTTTCGGTCGTAGCATTTTTGTTTGATTTTCGTCTGTCGCTGTGCAAATTAAAGCACAAAAGCCCCAATGTCAACACACAAAAAAAAAATAAATAAATAAAACTGATTCTATTATTATTTGCGTGCCCGCGTTTAAAACAAACGCCATAGAGCGCCAGTTCTTGAAATCTCCCAACTGCCGAATATGTGAGCCCGTGCGTAATCCCCCCACCCAGCCGCGCACCGAGCCACTTCATCAGCTACACGAAGGGCACTTGACTTAAGCACTCGTGCGTCGACTCTTTATTGCCAATTGCAGCTTTTCGTCTTAAGGCCATGGCGAGCGCAGCATGTATTTGCCTTTTAAAATCAGCTGAAAGGTTCTCATTGCTGGCTAAAAGTTCATTTCCCGACTCGACTTGACAAACTTCTGCAATAACACTAGAGCTTGTCCTAAACTTGAAAACAATTTGCTTAAACTTTAAGGCTAAAAGTCAAATTTGCGCAGAGTTCCCAAGAGTCAAAGAGCATATAATAGGTAAAAATATGAAAAGAGTTTCTCTATGTCTTTCCACTTCTTTCATAACTAAGTAAATGTACTCTCTTTTAACACGTTGGCATCGGGGTCGCCTGATGAGCAGAGTGAAATGCATATAAATGTAATTTCGAATGACACTCAAAATAATGCGATTCCCTGGCACTTGTACTCATACGCCACATGTGCCCATGGCCCATCATATATTCAATTACTCTTCCAGCTTATGTATATGTATATGTGTGTGTCTGTGTGTGTGTGCAAGACCCTAGTTTCGAAGCTTTGCTTGATACGTGAGTCTTGCTAATTTTTTTTGTGCAAAAACTTTCATCTCCTGCCACAATTTGATACAAAGTTTCGCCACCAAACTTTTCCAGCTGCACATGTATATGTATTCGTATATGTGTGTGGGTATGAGTGCTTAAGCCGAAAAGAAATAGAAACAGCAGCACAAATTGACGACTCGGGCGCGGCGGCGGCGACTTTGTTGCAAGGCAATCAGCCAGCTGTGGCTAAAAGGAGTTAAGTTGAGAGTATACGACTCTTTAGCTGCCCGTTGCATGATTATGACTGCTATGGGAGGGGGGCAACCTAGTCACCACTTGCCGCGACTTTGTATGATACTCACAATCGCCTCCTGCCGCACTGTGAGGCAGTACTTCTTGGTGCAGTTGAGGGCGCGCACGGCGGTGGCATTCGTCAGGCAGGTGGCATCGCTCTGGCCGAGCAGGTAGCTGCAGACGTAGCACTCGAGAGCTGCAAGTCCAAAAAACCATAAATAAAACTATATAGCAACTGTATAAACTATAATAAAAATACATTCGCATCTCGAAAATATTGAACGAGGTCATGACGTTGCCTTTCGCTTTCGCTTTCGCCTGCGCTCTCTCGCTCTGTGGGTCTGTTGATACTATTCACCATGTATTGTAGATGATAAAACCGATGATGACAACGCGAATCATGATCATGATGATGTTGTTGTGCTTTTCTTAGAATTTATTTATAGCGAACGCAACAAAACAACCACAACAACAACAACAGCAACAACAACTGAAGCAACAACACACACGATAGATCTAAATAAAAACACACAAAATCTGTTTTTATTCAAATTAATTGCATTAAAGTGAGAATTTTGGCAACAGACTTTCTGTCTATTTGCCAAGTGGCACGACAGCGTCCTCGACATGTATCCATCTATACATACATATGCTCTATACACTTTATGCGTTTTGTGTAATAACAATGACGTCAATAGACAACAACAACAACAACAACAACGTGTTACAAGAATAGCTAGAATAGGCAGAGCCAAATGCTATAGAATTGTAAAGACTGATCTCACGACACGAGACTTTGGCGCTACATAAAAATAGTCAAAAATTTTAAAAACCAACAACATGTAAGACAGAACAGAACAGACAGAAGTTATCGAAGTTGTAAATGCCCTAGGTTTTATAGAAATACACATACATATATACATACATATGATGTAATGGAAAAGGAAGCGAAAATAGCAGTGGAGAGTAGTAAGCCTGATTGAGTTGTAGAAAATAAATTGGAGTTTCAAATTCACACTAGGGATGCATTAGGATCGGCCCCATCCAAAGCATATAAATACATCTATACCACTCTTATCATGTATGCACCTAAAAAGAAATCTATAAATAGTAAATAATAATAAAAAATGCAATAATTTTCATTTAAATTGAATATATAAGTTTATCTAAAACCTAATGCAATGCAATGGAAGAGTTCCTCATTCAAAGAGTACATCAAGAGCTATACTATAACATCCACACAAGTAACCCTAATTTATCGTCACCTATTCACTAGGTATACCCTCTTTCTCCTCTATACCACATTTCAAACCAATCCAAGTCACATATGTAATGAATATCTTGGCATACCCTTTCAGCAGCTCATCATTGAAAATCATCAGCTCTCGCTGCGGTCTCAGACCCCAGAAAACGACCCTGCGCCTTTACATCGACCGATTGTCTAACAGCTGACGCAGCTGAGGCAGTCGCCTCCATCACCACCTCGTTGCCCCCCACTCATCTCATCTCTTGAAGGCAATCATAATAATGCTCATCATAATTGTGCTCTTTTAATGATTCTTTTACATATGCACAAATTCATCGTAAAAAAATAAAATCATTGTATGAAAAACTAAAAAAAAACAAAAACAAATATAGATCACAATAATTTCGGGACTATTTTTAAAAGTTTTGCACTATGATTTCTGCATAAGTCCAACTCAATTGGCACTGGGCACGCTTCAGTTCTCCGTATTCACGAATCAGTCCGTTAAACACTCATCATTCATTCGTGCGAATTTGTAGCGCCCGAATGCGATAGAAATGAACTCGCCGCACAGTGGGCCAAGGCCATGTAGCATTTGGGAAAAATCAATTACTTTCAATGCTGCAAAGGTATGCACACTATTTGCAATAGATAACTAATCAAAATTACTACGACTTTCTGATTGAAATCAGAACTCATAAACGTCGTTACTCATCGTCAATTGAACTCATGGGCAAATAATTGCAATGATTAAACAATGCTTGACAAATATGACATATCAGCGTTGACTCTGGGTACATGACGATAAATGTGTGTAGAGATGCACTGACATTTTTATATAGTTATTTACTAAGTGGAAATAATGAAAACAGGGCTGCAAACTCAAAGTTTGTTGATGGTTAGGAGTTAAAAACCAGATCTGATCAAGTACAGTTAGCGAAGTTTGCTTTTAAGTATTACCAAGTTTTAATTACAATTTATTTGATTTATATAATTTTTTATATTTTATAGATTCATTTTGGATTTTACAGATTTTGATTTACCAATTTTTTGTTTTTACTTTTGTATACGTAATATAAAAAAAAAAATCTACACACATTTTCTAAAGCAAAAATAAAAATTAAATACAGCCTTATTTCAACATCTCAAACTCGAATCAAAATTTTCCATCTCTCTCATCTGATTTGTAGAAACTTTCAGGTGTTTTGGCCACACGGTTGGGCTAAAAATATTGTATTATACAGTGGAGATCTTTGAGAAATTATGTTTATCATCTTTTGTGTAGCAATCAATAAATTAAATGCGGTCACTGGAGAGTGGCGTCGACAGCTGAGCTGAATGGGTTATTATATGTGTATAAAGATTTCTATGGCAAGTAGACGCAACTGCATACACACACACACACACACACACACACACACACATGTGTATATTGAAACCTAGTATATTTGAAATACGCAAAGCAGAGCAAAGTTCTTAGAATCGCGCTGAGGTCTCAGCCAGAAAACGTGCCAAGAGAAAGAGAGAGTATGAGAGAGAGAGAGGAAAAATAAAGAAAATAGTAGAAATTTCGAATTTACCTGTTCTTCCGTTGCTGTCATAAATTTTAGAATACTAAGTAGACAAGTTTCGAAATAAAAAAACAGCTAATTAAGTTAAGTGGAAATTGAATATTCAAAAAAAAAAAAATGATGGATGCACGCGCGTATTTCTGTATAGAACATATGAATATTTCCTATGATAATATCAAATACGTATACGAACCGTTGGCCAAACAGGGGGACAGGCAAATGACATAAAATGCCAGCAAGTGGGCGACTTTTGGCATCTCAAGTTCTCTTCACTTCAATTGCTTTGCGCCAATGACAGGTGATAATGATTCCGGCTTTGGGCCTGAAGTAGGACTGAAGCTGACAGCGACCAGGCGACAAATGGTTCTGCCACTTCTATTTACCTTCTTAGAGTAATGGATGGGTCGTTGTTATATATGTATATATCTTATCTCTTATTATAGTTGTTATCTCTGCATTGCTGATATGATCATAGACTGATATTGTTCTGTTATGCTACTTGAATTGTGTTTGCAGCCTGAACGCTATGTGCCCGGCTCGCCCATCTTTCGCGACAGCAGCCCAACACCCGATGCCACGCCCACAACACCTATAACAGCTGGACCCTCAGCAGCAGCAGCAGCACCGACGACGACTAGAAATAAAACGGGCGCCTCACCAACCTCCAGGAGTCGTGGTCAAGGTAAGCAGCTGCCTCTAGCCTTTGAGTTAACTCAATTTTTCCGACAGATTTTCATTATTGACTGTACTCGCATGCTCCAGTCTCGCACACGCACATGTTTTGGCATATTCCCCAGCCCGCCCCCGTCCCCTCTCCCAACGCTTGACACACTTTCAGTGACATTTTGTGTAAATAAAGCTGCATGAGCAGCTGGCAGTTGGCTTGTAATGCTTTTTCCCAACGGGGCGCGACATATGAAAAGATTCGACATGTTGCGATTTCTTTTTGGGTCAAAGTCTTTTGACTCCTTTTCCGGTGTGGGCGGACAACCGAAAAGGGGCGTGCTGTATGCCAGAAATGACAACACACACGCGCACACACATACACACACACATAGCTGCATACACTGATATATTCAGCTATTTTGCCATTTTGCCATTTTGCCATTGAGCAGGCAGAGGTAAACATCAACAAGATGAGCATATCCATAGCCATTCAATATACTCAGACATTCGTTAGACGAATCTTCCACTCAATTATTTGTGGAATTTGATTATACGATATTATCTATCTCACTGTGCGCTGTTCTGCTCAATGTTTTCATTTTGTTGTTCTGCTGTTCTGTTTTCCTCGAAATCTGAAAGTTTCTGTTTACGTGCCAAATTGCACAGGTTGAGTACGGCGGGGCGGTGTTTCCGCGAGCGTAACGGTAAAGTACCCTGAAACCAAAGCACTTCCATCCGCAACCCTACCTTACCAATAATATGTATGAGTCATTTAGTCTATGTATGTGTCTATGTGTGTGTTTGTGTGTATTACTATACTCCCTGACTGACTGGGGGATTACGGTGCGTGTCACGCTACAATTTATCGATTTTATTTGTTGATTTAGAGCTTGCGATTTTCACAACTCGATTCTCGTATAATCAGCCAATGCATTTAAACTTCGTGAAACTAAACAGTTTAATTAAGTGCATTAAGTGAATGGCATTGGCTTAAAGTTTTACAAAGCAACTGTAAGACATTGTAAGCTAATTGAACGAGCTTAAAGTAAGCCAAGAAATTGTGCGGAAAATTTAATTCGCAAAGCTTTATAGCTCACAGCTTAAATAAATTACCAATACACAGACTAATGGAGGAAAATAGTTAATTAAGATGTGTTTAAAAGCAAGAGGAAGTTGCAGGTAAAACTAACACAGGAAAAACTTTTAATAATCTGAGCAAAGTATTAAGACTTTGATGTAAAACCTAGAACTTACATTACTATGTTAAGTATTAATGTTAACATTACTCTGTTAAGTATTTACATGGAATATTAAGCATAGTGTATGACTCTTAATATCATTTATTTTTCTTGCTGCCTCAACTCAAGCCTTTTTCCTTTTGTCTTCTCATTGCCAGCCATGACAATATCCCTCTCACATGGAACACCGGGCAACGATACGGCCACAAAGACCACCGCCAGCAACAGCAGCAGCAGCCACAACAACAACCAAGCCAAGCCGCTGCCCAGCTGCTATATGAGCACTCGATCCGCGGCAATGATGGCTCTGGCGCTGGGCCAACAGTCCGGCGAGAAGGCCACAGCCACAGCCACAGCCACGAAGCAATCCACGTCCAGTTCCAGTTCCAGCTCCAATGCCAATGCCAATGCCAATGCCTCGCCACGCACCAACAGCCGAAGTACAGCGCATCCTGCTAACCGAACCACGCCCACAACTGCACCAATGCCCACAGCGAACACTGCTCAAACGACCTTTGCCACGGCAACGTCCTCGAACACGTCGAAGCCGTCGACACCCACAGCGGTGCGCGCCGCTGCCCAGCTGAACGGCATGGCTGGCCTCTCGGGCGGCAGCAATTCGAGCGGCTCGGACAACGATGGCTTCAGCACATCGGGCTCCTCAACGGCCACGGCTCTGCGTCGACTGTACTTCAAGAGCGGGCGCAGCATCAAGAACAAGATCAACTCATCCACCTCCTCCACACCACTGAACAGCATGCCCATGAACACCGTCTCCAGTGCCTACCACAACTCGGTGAGCGGGGCAACGGCTATGCATGCCATGGGCGTCTCTGGAGTGCCGAAGGTGAGTCGAGAATGTGTGAATGTGAAGGTGAGAGGATACCTCATTAACAGTTATGTGTCTGCCATCTCTTGGACAGCTGGTTGTCATGGGCACTTCGTCGGCTTCCATACCGGACACGACCATCAACACGTCCACAGACTCCGCCTGCACGCTCATCACGAATGTGACGCACACCGACACCTCGGAGACCTGCGATTCCCTAGACTTGGGTAGGTAGTTGCGGCGACTATTGACTAACTGACTGATTGATTGATTGATTGATTGATTGAGCAGCTTGTTAATTAATCAACTAATCACAATGGCTTACATTTGGCCTGTCCTTTCGTCCACAGGCGACAATTCCGGTCCCAGCGAGCCGTTGTTCAGCTCACTGGAGGAGCCCCTGCTGACGGCCATCCAAATCGATTCGGAGCATGAGGCGGGCGGCACTGAATTGGAACTAACGAGCTGCTCTCGCTATCCCCCGCGACCTGACATGAATCTCCAGGACAGCACCGAGGTGAGTACACCAATGACACCTGTTGTTGTTGTTGTTGATTGCTTTCGTGTTCCATTTACTCATTTGCATACATGCACATGCCACATGTCTCTCATGCCACAGAGCCAGGAGTCCTGCTTGTCCATATTGACAGGAGAGCCGTCATCGACAACACCCCTGCTGCTTTCCTCTCGTCAGCCCAGCACGGCGCCACCGCCCACGCGTGGGCGTGAGCACTTCACCTTCGATCCGCCCCAATCACCAAAGTCAGCACGCACCAGCGAAAAGGCGCGCAGTCACTTCACCTTCAAGGAGGACGCCCAGCAGGCGCGCAGAGCTAGCAACTCCTACTACGCGGGTGGTGCAGCCACTGAGGCGGCTGATGCGCAGGAGGAGCGCGCTGTGGCTAATCGCAACAAAAAACTGCGCGCCAGGGAGCGCGATTCAATGGCTGGCAATGCCAATGCCAATGCGAATGCCAATGGCGGCAGCAACAGCTCACGTAATCGCATCTCGCCCAGCGTCTCGCCCTCGTCCAGCAACCGCACCAGTCCGAAGCGGGAGCGCAAACGCACCACGCCCTCCGTGTCCACGGGCGCCATAGCCAAGATCAACTCGGCGCCGCCCACCATGAAGGACGGCAACTTCTTCGGCAGCAGCCAAAACCAGAAGCAACGCCCATCCCAGCAGCAGCCGTCGCCCCAGCAGCAGCAGCTGTCGCCCTCTTCCCAGGCAGCGGCGCAGCAGCGCAAGTATTCCTCTAGCTCGTCCAGCGGCAGCAGCGAGCGCTGTCTGCGGGATGTAGCCGCTGCCGGCACCATGTTTCCCTTCGATCGGGAGGCGCTCGACTATGAGCGCATCCAGCGGGAGTGCTTTGCGCCCAGCTCGGCGACGGCCAGCACGAGCAGCGACTCGGACGAGGCCGAGAATTGCTCGGTTTATGAGCGCAAGCTGAGCGCGGACATCTTCCAGCAGTACTCGCGGCTCACTCAGCAGGAGCAGCAGCAGCAGCAACAGCATCAGCTCAACCATGAGCGGGACAGAGATCGGGAGCGGGAGCGGCCACCCTCTCGGAAGAACTCGAAGCGCATACGACCCGATTCCGTGATACACACAACCATACGAGAGAATCAGCAATATGTGCCACAATCGGACGCCTTCTATCCCCAGGCCAAGAGCTCATCCTCGCCCAGCGATCACTCCTACGCTGAGCTGAACAAGTTCGATGACATTGCCAGCAAATTCGAGCAGATTCCGCCCAAGCATGGCTCCAACTCCACGCTCAATCTGCAGGTGCTGCACATGCACAGCCCCGGCAGCGACTCCCTGGCATCCGCGTCCCTCAGTCCCACGGATACCACACGCAAGCGCTCCTTCAAGAGCAAGTCCAAGTCGAAGACGCAGTCGCAGCTACAGCCGCAGCTGCAGGCACTGGAGGACTTGCTGCCGGGTTCGGGTTCGGGCTCGGGTGCGGGCGCCATCAACGTGACAGCCAATCCCTTAGAGGCGGCCGCTGTCTGCAAGCAGCCGCGTGCCACAATCGTTGTCCAACAAGTAAGTAGATCCAGCCCCCTTCCTCTGCCCATTCACTATCTCTCTCTCTCTCTCGCTCGCTCGCTTGCTCTATGTGTATATAATGTATATATGTAGATTTATATCTATGATGTCTGTTTGTCTGGCTCTCTTTGTGCCTCATTTCCGCCTCAGGCTGCGCGCGCGTCTGCTCTCTGTCTCTCTGTCTCTCTGTCTCTTTATCTCTCGCCTATCTCCCACAGTCTCTCTCTCTCTCTATCTATCTCCCTCTCTGCTTTGTTGCTTGCTGCGCCTTGTGGCAGCTCATAAAAAGCCTCGCGCCTCGGCGGATCGACTCATTCATGTGTTTACGATCCGCTAGAGAGCATCGCATATACTTGGCACAACATCCAATAAAACAAAAATACAAAAAAAAAAAAAAACACTGCGTAAAAAACAGAAAACTTTTTCGCTTAACTGGAAAATCGAGAGGAAACAATCAAATAGAAAACGTTTAGTGTTTTCCATCGTTTAAGTGTGTTTTTTTTGTGCCGCGAACAACTCTTCAAAGGTTG